AATAAATAAATAAATACAAGCAAACATGCAAAAAAAAATAATAGGTGATCAGTACAGAAAATTTTGAGAAGAAAAGAAAGTATAGTAATTACAGTTCTACCTCTCAGTTCTACCTTTAGGATAGTCTATATAGTGGCTATTAGCTTGTCGGCATCGCTTTCCAATCTCTACCCCACACAACAGGTGTGTGTATATGTACAGCGGGCCCACTCCGTCAGTGGGAACCACCTCCACAGACTTAACCCACGGGTTAAACAGATTTGGAGGGAAAAAAGCAAAGAAAATTGCATTTCTATTGCTTTGCTTATCATTCCCTAAACAATATAGCATTTACACTGCATTAAGTATATAAATAATCTAGAGGTGATTTAAAGTATAAAGGAGGATACAGCGTAGGTTAAATGCATATAAATTAGGAAGCGATTTGAGCAACCATAGCTTTTCTGTATGGGATCCGTATGTATTTATGTATGTACGTATGTATAAAAATGGACATTTTCAGCTGATTTGTTTTTAAAACAGATTAGGAACATAAAGCACACATTTTTGTAAACTTTCCTCCCTTTTTCTCATAGGTAAGGCTCACTAGGCTAATCTTTAAAAAACTAATTTTCTATGACTCACAATGTAACTAATACAGCAACAACATACATAAGCAGCTACTATGGTTAGTTGTCACTATTATGAACAGCGCTGTGTACAGTTTTTGAAGTTATTTCCATTCCTCGGATGCTATGAGTGGATTACTTAAACAACATTCTTGTTAAGTATCACCAAATAATCAACTAGTTTAAAGAGGAGCCATTTAGTCTTAAAGAAATCAAATTAAAGTTCAGACTTCAAGACAATCTTAAAAATTCCCAAATTAACAAGTCAAGAGGCTTAAAAGAGATAGAATATCATACAGAAATTTTGTCAGCTTATTACATTTTAAGCACCATATTAATATCCTCACCAAACAATGTAGCCACCCTACCTTGAAATTATGAACTCGAGAACTCATAGTGCCCTTTCCCCCGGCAGAGCTTAACATTACCCAGTAAGTGACATGGATCTGATGCCATTAAGTAACCACACTAATCAATTCCTACCTCATCTGCTGCCTTCATTATTGCAGTCGCAATCTTTGGATCAAGACCATAATCCTGGTTAACTTCAGCAGCTGCTCGCTTCAAGATGCCGAAAGCTTTAATAACTGGGATCTAAAACCAATGAAAGAAGATCTCTAATTTGTAGCTTAAGAATGACAGCTTCTTATTTATGCAGATGCAAAACCAGTTACCTAATTAGCACTATGATTTTCAAATGTTTGGAGCATAACGCTTAGATGCATATGTATATGTGAACTAAGAGAATCTAACAAAAGTAGATAGCATCTACATACGTATTTATGTGTCTTACACATACACATACCATGTATTTATACATACAATGTAAAATTCACTGCACTTTTATATATACTATAAAGTATGTGTTTTAAAAAAAATTATGAAAAATGGGGCCAGCAAGATAGCTCAGGCAATCGCAGGTATGCACAGGACCGCAGTTCAATCCCCGTACCACATGCCAAGCCAGTTCTGTCCCCCAGGGTGGGCTGAGCCACACACCCCCAAAAAAAATTTTAGTAAAGTGTGTGTTTTTCATATGGTATGTTAAAAATAAATAGCATTCAATAGTTTTCCAGCAAGAGTCATTCTCATGCTAGAATGTTTTCCTTCTTCTCTTAAAAAAAAGACATAATTTATGTCTTTTCACTAAGAGATAACCAATAAATGGCTATCATTCACTCACAAATACAAAAGTCAATATAATCTAGTTAGTGAAGACTTGGCACTTTTTAAACCCATGGCTTTTCAGGCTCAGAATTGAATAACGTATTATACATATCCATATTTTTATTTTTTCACACACAAGTTGATTTATTTTCTAATCAAAACTGCCTCGTTGAACAAACTTTAAAAAGATATACAGAGTAACTTTTGACAATATATCAAGCAAACAATAACCTGTCAAACAATGCATTATGGAGTCTTATCAAAAACAGTACTAAAAGGGGCAAGGGAGATGGCTCAGTAGAGTAAGTGC